GCTGTTGATTGATATCCAGCCCCGCTTAGATGGAATGGGTGATGTGAATTTTAATATTGTATTTTTTTATTTCTATTTTTTAAACTAAGTGTTACTTGTCTTGTTGGGAGCCGCCCAGAATCCCGGTGGGAGTGGGCGGCATACAAATTCTATTAAACTTGGAAACTTCTAGACCAAAACCTTCACCACTACAGTAAACAAACTCTCTGACTATCCCTATGACTTCGTCTCAATAAGTGGCAATGTTTAATATTTTGTAGCTGTTGCTGACACTATCAATAGAGCCAATGATAGCTCAAAGTTATTTTACCTGTGGGCTAGAGGTGAAATGAAAACCACACCACAGGGACCCAGCAGAAAGATCTTTCCAGGGCAAGTTGGGTATGGTTGTGCCATGGGTAGGGTCAAGTGAAGAATGAACCTTAACTAACAGTACTGGGGATAGTGGCAGCCCGTCTGCAAATCCATGTGGATGAACCATTTACAGGAGGTTCATCAGAAAATTAGGCATATACAAGAGATGTGAGGTTTTGCTCAAAGTGAACATTAATTTTATGCATAATGTTGAAAAACAGCTGTAGCATTTCAGAGCCCTGATCAATATGTGTGCTTCCAAGCACAAAACACACGATGTCAAGTAAAAGCACAGTACAATAAAGGTTTTATTGGTTGACCACTTTGAGATTTCTGCCACACATGTTGATTCATTATTCCAAACCCATTTGAAATGAGTTTAGCTGGTGATGTAGCTCAAACTACATCTAGGGCTTGCTCAGGGGAAAATTCTCATGCAGGTGTCTCTCCATAGTGTCTTCAGCTGTTGGCAGAGGTTTGTCAAGGCTCGTTTGCAATGTTTTCATAACCATTGTACTGGGGGGTTGATGACTGTTGTGGTAATAATAATTTTAAAAGGACCAATTAGAAAACACCCACAGAACCATCAATAACATTTTTAAAGGAATCCAGTTTACTAGAGAAGAAGAAAACAACTTGCTACCCTTCCTGGAAATCCTGATCTACAGAGACCACAACGGCAAACTAGAAATGCAAGTCTGCAGAATAACTACCCATACTAACTATGTCTGTGATGGCGAACCTATGGCACGTGTGCCACAGGCGGCATGCAGAGCCATATTTGGTGGTATGCCAGCCGTTAGCTTTGGCCAGGGGTGGGTTTCTCGCCCCGTTCCAACCGGTTTGGTTGGAACGGGCCGGTGGCGTCCTTGTGCATGCGTGTGGCGCACGCATGCGTACTAGCGTCTGTGCGATGCTCCAGCTGCTCCTGGAGGATCGCGCAGGCGCTGTATGCATCCTGCGCATGCGTGGAAGCGCAGAACTCATCAAAACCGGGTAAGGAGCGCGGGCGGGTGGGTCGGCCCTTTGCCATTCCCGGAAGTTACTTACTTCCGGGTTCGGCGACCAACCGGATCGCAGGGACCGCCGCGAACCGGTTGG